ATTGTGATGCTTCGAGGGTGGGGTTAAGATGTGTTTTAATGCAGCATGACAAGGTTATTACCTATACTTGATGACAGTTGAAGAAGCATGAACATAACTATCCTACATATAATTTAGAGATGACGGCTGTAATCTTTGCTTTGAAGATTTAGAGGTATTACTTGTATAGTGAAACTTGTGACATCTTTACAGATTACAAGAGTTTGAAATACATCTTTTAGTAGAGGGATCTAAACCTAAGGCAGAGGAGATGGATGAAATTGCTGAAGGATTATGATTTTACCATATAGTACCACTCGAGTAGGGTAAATATAGTTGTCAATGCTTTGAGTAGAACATCATCAGGGAGCTTAGCTCATATTCAGGAGGTACGAAGACCTCTAATTAAGGAGTTGCATGAGTTAATGGATGAAAGAGTCAGATTTGTTCTTAGTGAAGCTGGAGCAATGATTGCTCATTTTCAGGTTAAGTCAGATTTATTTGATAAAATAAAAGCAGCTTAGAAAAAAGATGATTCACTACTCAAGATAAAAAATGAGGTTAAACAGGATAAGACTGCAGGTTTTGTGATAGGTGATGATGATGTGCTAAGATATAGAAATACGCTTTGTGTACCTGATATAGATGATTTGAAGAGAGAATTGATGGTAGAGGCACATCAGACAGTTTACACAATGCATCTAGGTTTCACCAAGATGTATAAAGAACTTAAGGTGTGTTATTGGTGGAATAAGATGAAGGCTGATGTAGCAGATTTTATTTCTAGGTCTTTGACCTATCTAAGGGTAAAGGATGAACACTAGAAACCTCCTGGATTGTTGCAACCATTGTTGATTCAAGAATGGAAGTACGAAAGGATCATATTGGACTTTATGATAGGATTGCCTAAGAGTCAGGAGAGTTATGATTCAATATGGGTGATTATTGACAAGTTGACAAAATGAGCCCATTTTCTGCCAGTTAAGATTACTTATGAATATGCAAAGTTGGTGGAATTGTTTATTAGTTAGATTGTACGGTTGCACGGAGTGCCAATCTTGATAGTGTCAGATAAAGATTCAAAGTTTACATCATGATTTTGGGTGAAATTTCAAGAGGCTATGGGTACTAAAATATAGTTGAGTACAACTTTTTACCCTCAGATAGATGGCCAATCTGAAAGGACTATTCAGATCTTGAAGGATATGTTAAGGGCTTGTGTTATGGATTTTGGAGTTGGTTGGAGTAAGTTCTTACCATTAGTTGAATTTGCTTACAACAATAGTTATCAAGCTAGTATAGAGATGGCAACTTATGAGGTTTTGTATAGTTGCAAGTGTAGATCACCAGTTTGTTGGTTTGAGGTTGGTGAGATGAGGCTAATAGGACCAGAGTTGATTCAGATTACCTTAGAGAAGATAGAGGGAATTAGAAAGAAGCTTCAAACAGCTCAAAGTAGACAAAAGAGTTACGCGAAAATAAGAAGGTATGAGTTAGAGTTTTTAGTGGGTGATTCTGTGTTCTTAAAAGTATCATCAATAAAAATAGTATTCAAGTTTGGGAAGAAAGACAAATTAAGTCCTCAATTCATTGGATCGTATGAGATTTTGGAGAGAGTTGGGGCAGTTACTTATAGGTTAGTATTACCACCAAACTTGTATGTTATTCATCTGGTATTTCATGTTTTCATACTAAGGAAGTATATATATGATCCATCGCATGTGTTAAAGGTTCATCCCATTGAATTGAGAGATTATATGGTTTATGAGGTGCAATTAGAAGCTATAGACAACCAACAAGTGAGGAAGCTTAGGTCGAAGGATATAACTTCAGTGAAAGTGAAATGAAAAGGTCATTCATGTAAGGAAACGACATGGGAGCTCAAGGACAAGATACGTGAGAAATATCCTCATCTTTTTGATAATCTCGGTAAGTATTCAATTTTTTGTATTAAGTTTCAAGGATGAAAGTCTTATAAAGTGGGGAGATTGTAATGTTTTGAATTAAAAGATATAAGAAAAGGCAATAAAGCCCTTAGAGGCTTAAAAAAAAGTATAATTGAATGAGGGGTATAGTAGTAATTGAATAAAGAGATGATAAATATAAATAGAAAATAAAAAAAAAAGGATAATGATAAATATAAATAGAAAATAAAAAAAAGGGATATGAAATTTTAAGAGAGCAAACCGGCAGGAGAGAAAGGGGAAAGAAGAAGAAGAAAAGAAAAGAGAGAAATTAGAAGGGAAATAGAAAGGAGTGGAAGAAAATAAGTTTAAAGGTAAGATTTAGGTTTATAAATGTATAAATGTGTTAGTTGGACTTTAAATTTGGTTTTAATAAATATTAGAATTTTAAAAATTTATATTTTAGGTTTAGTTGATGAATGTGGATCAATCACAACCCAATCCTACACCACGTGCATGTGGATCTTGCTTAATTGGCCCATCTACTAGTGTTATGCTTTTTTCAAGTTTGTAGGCCCTTGTTGTTGACTCCGCTATCCCTTTGATGCATGAGCTTTTGTCTACCTCACCTCTTGTTCCCGCTGACCCAGATCTTGTCACTAATACATCCTCTTCTATAGCCCCGAGCTATACTTCCCAGACTAGCACTCATCTAATGCAGACTCGCTCCAAATCATGCATTTTCAAACCTTCTCACTACTCCCATGTGTGCATAGTTCCTCACTCTAGCTTGTTCCACTGTTTTCTTACGAAGCGCGAGCCCAAAGGCTTCAAGTCCGCTGCTAAGCATCCTAGATGGATTGCTGCAATGGATGCAGAAATTCAGGCCCTTCATTATAATCACGCATGGGATCCAGTAACTCGATCATCCAACCAAAATGTTATAGGCTCCAAATGAGTTTTCCACATCAAACACCTATCTGATGGTCGTCTTAAAGCTCGTGTTGTCGCAAAGGGCTACACGTAGCAATTAGGCATTGACTTCATCGAGACATTTAGCTGTGTATGGTTAGAGTTGTTTTGTCACTAGCAGTCTCAAATAATTGGCCTCTTCGGCAACTTGATGTCAATAATACCTTCTTTAATGAACTTTTGTAGGAAGAAGTTTATATGGATCAACCATCTGGCTATGTTGATCCTAAATATCCTACTCATGTTTGTTGGTTTTGTCATGCTCTCTATGGTCTCAAACAAGCTCCCTGCGTATGGTTTCATTGCTTCAGCGCCTTTCTCTTGGCTATTGGCTTTATTTGTAGTTCTGTCGACCCATATTCCTTTGTGCTATCCAAGGGTGATGACTTAATACACTTATTACTGCATGTTGATGATATTGTCATGAATGGCAGCAACTTAGCACTCCTTCATGCCTTTATCGGCAAGCTAACTCATGAATTTTCCACTAAAGACCTTGGCTCTTTGCACTATTTTTAAGGCTTGAAAGCTCATTGCACATCTACTAGTCTTTTTCTTAGCCAAGCTAAGTACGCCTATGAAATTTTACAGTGTGCATAGTTGGTTGACTCCAAACCGATAGGTACTCCCATGGTAATTACTCGACATCTTTCCATGGTTGGCCCTGATTTTGATGATCCATCTCTTTACTAGTTGCTTGTCGAGGCCCTTCAATATCTTACAATTACTCATCCTGATATTGATCACGCTGTAAGTGTTGTCAATTAGTTCATGCATAAGACATCTATTTCTTATTTTCAAGCTGTTAAAAGAATACTACGTTATGTTAAGAGGACCCTTCGTTTCAGCTTATCTTCCACTCCATCTTCTTCTAGAGAATTCACTACTTATTCAGATGCCGATTAGGCTGGATGTCTAGATATGCGTCACTCTGTTTCCGGTTATGCCATTTATTTTAGTGGTACTCTAGTGTTATGGAGTTCCAAGAATCAACCAATGGTTTTTCGATCCAACTGTGAATCTGAATATCAGGCATTGGCTCATACTACTACAGAGGTTAAGTGGCTGCAACATTTTCTTCAGGACCTTCATGTATCTTCTCCATCTCCTCTAGTCTTGCTCTGTGATAATCAAAGCTCAATTTTTCCTGTTGTCAACCTAGTCTCCCATAAGCGTTCTAAGCATATTGATTTAAATTATCATTTTGTGAGAGAGCTGGTGACCTCCGGAGTCCTTACATTCGTTATGTTCCCACTCACTTACAAATTGCCGACATTTTCACCAAAAGTCTTGGCCAACCTGCTTTTGTTTTTTTCCATTCCAAGCTTCGCATCTCTAATTCTGAGATACTAGGCTTGCAGGGGTATTACAAAAGGATCCCCAAGATTCTTCTCAAATCATGCTATATCTGTTATCCAAACCCAATCCCATGATTCTAGGCAATTCCTTGATTATAGACAATAGTTATATATGTAGAAGGATACGTTGACTTTGTATATTAATTACCTTGCTGTAATATTGCTAAAAAAACTATATAAATAAGATAAGCACAAACACGATGGTCACATATTTTAGCCACAAATAACCTTTTGAACTTCTATGTTGGACTCGCAGCCTCCACGAACAAAACTGTGCTGCCAAAAAACCTCGAGATGCAGTGAGAAAATATTCCTCTAGTCGTTTTAGAGATGATGTACCTGGAAAACACCCAATCCCAAACTCTCAGATGGATCAATGCTGCAAATGATGTGAAGTCTCTGCCCCTCCTCTGTGTTCATCAAGTAGAAAGATGAGCCAGCAGGAATTCGGTAGATATCCCCAATCTTCTATCTGCTAACTTATCTCTGTAGATCAATCCAACCCTGGCTTCCCCTACAACCCAAAATGCACATCCATTAATATTTGTAATAAAAATTAAAATTCAAGATAGTTCTAGCGCGGTAAATATGTCAACATTATCCAGTTTCGGATTATATTGTAAATGCATATACATCGCATTTTTGACAGAAATATATGAACGCAGCAAAATCGAGAGATTATACAGAAGAGTAGATACCTGTGCGAATGAAGAGGATCAAGCTGAAGTGGATATACTGAGGAATAAAAACTGCTCTAGGCTCCATAGTAATGAACCCAATATGCAAAGTCCTATCTACAATCCTTCCACCATAATTCCTGAGCACTGTCATAACCCCAGCATCAGTTTTAATCACACGCTTTGAATCCTGCAACGAGAACCAGTCTTCTTCCTTATCCCTCTCCGTTTCTTCCCTCTCTCCTCTCCAGTTTTCCTTTTCTTCTCTATAAAACCCTACTGCCACAGTGACCTCATAACAGAGCACAAGAAGCAACAGCAGAAGGATAGCTCTATTTCCCATTGTGTTAGTTTTCTCAATGAGCTAGCTAGCTAGCTAGCTTTTCTTGTGTACTGTATTGCAGAGCTAGCTTTTCTTGTGTATTGTATTGCAGGTCAAATTTTCACTTGCTTGGTGCCTCAGCATAAGTAGAAAGGTGGGGTTTATGAAGGGGCTGAAGGAGAGATTAGAGGAAAACGAGTGTCAGTCATGCAGAGTTGTGGATTTGCTAGCTCATGTTTGGTTAGACCCAGTTAGAGTTCTCGCGAGAAATATCAGATCAAGGTGAGAGGATCAAAAGAGTATGTGATTTGGCTTTATATTTATGTATTTATCTACATGTTTTACCATAAACAAAATCCACGTTACTTGGATATTTAGTCACTCAATCAACCCTGTGATTTAAGTTAATGACTTTACCACGTTACTTGGATATTTAGTCACTCAATCAACCTTGTGATTTAAGTTAATGACTTTACCACCTAAAATTATTTTTTTTATTTTTTTATATTATAAAAAATGCCAAAATTAAACTATAATCAATGTAATACTGAATAATAAAATTCAATAAAAAAAACCATCTTTCTTCTCACAAACAGTCTATGCACACAATTAATAATATATTGAAATTATTAAAATCGAGGAACCATATGTTATACACACAGAGTTAATTATATATCAAAATAATTATATTCAAGTTTACAGACCTAGAAGTCCAAATAATTGAGCTTTTCACGTGGGAAAAGTCTTCAATGTATATATAGGTAAACATTGTCCTCGCATGTAAATTCTCTTTTACTGTTTTTCTTAAAAATTATAAATTCATACAACAAGTTTGTTTAAAAATAATAATAAAACAAATAAACATCTAAATAAAATAAAATATATATACAATAAAAAATTAACATTTTAAAATTTTGTTAAAAAAGAGAGGATATATTTACTTAAAATGAAAAATTTACAATAAAATTTTAATCAAAATATAAATGCCATCAAACAAAGTATTGTTGTGACTAGAAAAATTGTAAAAAAATGAGTTGTGTTAAGATGAGGAGGGATGTGGGGAGGGTTGTTTTGTTGTAGAGTTCTCTAAGGAAGAAGTAGAAATAGGGGAGGCGGGAGAGGAAGGTCGAGTGTCAAGCATATATTAAATATTACCAACGAATTTATAGAAAAAGTTATTTTGATGGTGACTCTGTTGACAATTTTGTTGGTATAAGTGACATGTCATTATACGGTTTGTCTATTTAAATACCATTGTAATTTTCTTAGTAATAATGTCTATAAAAACTTACCCATTATCGAATTATTTAATTTTTTTATTTTTTTTATTCTAACTAGAATTCCTTTGATATATACTGATGATATATTTCTGTCGGTATTTATTAACGAAGTTAGCAATGAAAAAAATTTGGCAGGTAAAAATCACCGCAAAATACCAATAAAAAAAATCTGTCACTGTTTCTGTTTGTAATTATTGATTTTTTGATAGTTTACTTACTAATTTTCTTTTTATTCATTTATATTTTTCAAAAATACAATGGAATTGTAGTCTCTTTTTTTATTTTTCAAAAATACAATGGAATTGTAGTCTTTTTTTTATTACAGAAACAAATTAACTCTAGTAATTAGGACTTCAACTTTGTTTTCTAAAATAAGTTATCAAATACATAATCGGGATCTAATTTTAATCAATCACATCTAACTTCTTTTGGTTAGCAAATCATTGTTTATCCTATTATATTAGGATTCATTATTTTGATACCTTTTGCTTTAGGAAGTTCTTGTCTGGACATGATTGGGGTTGCTAACCTTTTGTTGTAATTTTCTACTTTTGGTTTTATTTATATAGCAATCAAAATGGTTATGGAGTTGATTCAATTAATTTCACATATTTCAGTTAAAACTATTTAATACAATCAAAACCTTACTAATTATAACTTTCTACTTATGGTTCTATTTAAATAGCTATCAAATCCTGAATAAATTCAATATATCTACTTATGGTTCTATTTAGTGATTCATATTTTAACTCTAATATTAAAATAATTAAAGAGTTGGCTTGATTAAATTCGAGAACCTCTATTAAAACTTATTTGATCTAATCTGGTGATGTCCCAAAATTCAGAATATTCGAACAATAAATTATTTAGTATTTGGATAGTGGTTGACGAAGGTGTTTAAGAATACAATTATCTTCTCCTTAGCAAAAAAACATACCAAACTAATGGTAAAAACCCAAGTACATGTAAAAACAAAATTAACAATTTTATGGGAAAAACAATAAATAATTCAAAAGAGCTTTAAGTTCCAAAACCAAAAGTATTTGTTCTTATATTTTAGAATGATTGATGCTCCGAATGCTCCGAAGTATATGCAAGCTATTTAAAGTCAAAAAAGTTCTAAACCTCTTACCTGGATGGTTCAAGAGGTATTTGTAAATCTTAAACCTTGTTGTCTTCAGTGAAAGACTAAAATGTTTTTTGTTTTTTGTAGCATTAATGAGAGACAAATATCTCTTATATACTATTAATGAAAAACAAATATTTTTTATATATTATTAACAAGCTGGTACATGTGGTGGATGCTCTAAGTGACCTTTTGTACATTTATAAGTATAGAAAGAGCATTACCTTTGATATGAATAAATCATGTAACCATTCAAAAAGAAGGACTCCTTAGCCCTGTACATTTAAGACCTAAGATGTAGCCAAACTTAGATTAAGAAAAAATGATGTGACTGTTTATCTATCTGAAGCACCTCTGGTTTAATTGATCATCTAGATTTGATATATTGTCATACTCAAGTTGCCTTGCATTCGACTGATAACTAAACCTAAGCATATTAGGGTTGGTATTTTGTAAGGTCTATATTGCCTCAAGTTTAGCTGAGTCTTACAAACTGTTAGATCCATGTTATCAAGGGTTTAGCTAATTGTTGAACCCAAGTATCTTGAGTCTAGCATTTTACCAAGACTATATTGCTTTAGGTTCTTCAGCTAATTATTGAACCCAAGCTTTTTAGGTTTCACATTTCATCAGGCTTATGTTACCTTTAACTTAGCTAATTGTCAAACTTAAATATCTTGGGTTTGGTATTTCGTCATTGTAACATCCTACCCCTATATCGGGATAAAAAGCAACAATCTCATATCAATTGAAAAACAGAGTAATTTTTTATATATATTCATGGTCTTCATACTAGCATCTACCAAAATTTTGACAAGGCCCCCCTATACAGGAAAGTCCCAAGTCAGCGACATGTATCCTGTTTACACTTCCAATAACTCGCATCTCATAACTAAATCCCAACCCAATCATCTTGGGTTTTAATTTCACAATATTCATGATATACATTATATAACAAAATATTATTGTGGATGAATAAAAATACAAACACATAGAAATTATTTATGGTTATATTTGTCATAACCCAATTCTGGGTTATT